CACCAAATAATTTTTTTTATTTCTTTTTAAAACTTTATTTAACATAACTATGCTTACAGAATACACTCATATTGGTTAATAGAATGCAATTTAAGTTTTACTTATCCTACACAATTTGGTCCAAAAACTTGGTACACAGTTTAAATGTTAAAAAAAAAAAATTACAATCTGGTTTATTTTCCATCTATTACAAATGTATATAAAAGATACTCCCATCAAAGTTTCTAAAAGGTGATTTTTTTTTATTTTTTTTTAATGTTTATTTATTTTTGACAGAGAGAGAGACAGAGCATGAGCGGGGGAGGGGTAGAGAGAGAGAAGGAGACACAGAATCAGAAGCAGGCTCCAGGCTCTGAGCTGTCAGCACAGGGCCCGACGCGGGGCTCGAACTCACAGACTGAGATCATGACCTGAGCTGAAGTCGGATGCCCAACCAACTGAGCCACCCAGGCACCCCTTCTAAAAGGTGATTTTTATTTAAACTTTTACTTTCAAAAATTCCTAGTAAGGTTAGATTATTTTCATGTTTATAAAAATAGGGCCTAAACTCCCACGCATTAGATAACTTAGTGAGACAACCTATAGGCAAGCATTGGTGATTTGTTAAACTGTGATAGGCGTCAACAAAACACAGGCAGTATGGCACCTCTGTTAAAAATAATTTCCACAGCATGCACAGCATGATGACTATAGTTAACAATACTGTACTGCATGTTTGTAAATTGGGAAGAGAGGTCTTAAAAGTTCTCATCATGAGACAAAAATTATGTAACTATGTATTGTGATGGATGTTAACAAGACTTATCGTGATCATTTTGCAATATATAAAAATACCAGATCATGTTGTAACACTTGAAACTAATATAATGTTATATGTTAATTATACCTCGATTAAAAAAAAATTTTCTGGGGACACCTGGGTGGCTCAGTCAGTTCAGTGTCTGATTCTTGATTTCGGGTTAGGTCATGATTGTGAGATTGGGCCCGCGTCAGGCTCTCCACTGACAGTGCAGAACCTGCTTGGGATTCTCATTCTCTCCCTCTCTCTCTGCCCCTTCCCCACTTGTACTCTCTTTCTCTCTCTCAAAATAAATAAATAAAATTTTTTTAAAGTAATTTTATTATTTTTTATATTTATTAATTCATAAATTTTAAAATTTATATTTTATGAGTATTTTTATTTTATGCATGTTATTAAAGATAATTCTGCATATAATTTTTGTGTAAATAGGTATTATCACCTTATATGATAATATAAGTGTGCACACACACACACAAATACACAAAGTATTTGGTTTAAAATTATTCACCAAGATACGTAAGTCCACAAAATAGATTTTATTTTTACATGAACCAGTCATTAAAAAAATACTCATCAAATATTTAAGGTATGAAAAACACTAGCAGAGTTAATTCCACCAACTATTATATATACAATTATTTAAAACCCAATTGAAATGCCTACGTGCCCTTTTTAAATATTTTTATGAGAAAGTTGCACAGTTCAGATGCGTTGGTTTTTCCATTTAATGTTTGATTGCTTTAACATAATCAGATAAACAATAGCTGGAGTTTAATTAGCAATTAGAAATTTAAAAAGTAGAGTAAGAAAACAAGTTTTAAAAATTGTGAGGTCAGGGGCGCCTGGATGGCTCAGTTCGTTAAGTCTCCAACTCTTGATGTCAGCTCAGGTGGTGATCTTGTGGTCATGAGATGGAGCCCTATGTGGCGCTCTGCGCTGAGCATGGAGTCTGCCTGGGATTCTCTCTGTCCCTCTCTTTCTACCCCTCCCCCACTCATGCTCTTACTCTCTCTCTCTCAAAATAAATACATAAACATTAAAAAAATTGATGTCAATCAAAAAGAATGAAATCTTGCCATTTGAAATGACATGGATGGGAGCTACAGTATATTATGCTAAGTGAAATAAGTCAGTCAGAGAAAGACAAAATACTACGTGATTTCGCTCATATGTGGGATTTAAGAAACAAAACAGAGGAGCAAAGGGGAAAGAAAAATAAAGAGAGAAAGAGGCAGGAGTGGGAAACAAACTGTAAGAGATAGAGAACAAACTGAGTGTTGCTGGAGGGAGGTGGGTGGGGGATGGGCTAGATGGGTGATGGGTATTAAGAAGGGCATTTGTTAGGATGAGCCCTGGGTGTTGTATGTAAATGACGAATCACTCTGAATTCTACACCTGAAACCAATTTTACCATACATGTTAACTAAGTAGAACTTAAATAAAAACTTGAATGTCTTTTTGAACAACTTGTGCAAGTTCAACTTTCTTCCATCATACCCCAAAACAAGTCCAGATTCTGTTAGGGCATTCGTTCTCAAGGGTTGTTCTCTAGATGCTGTAAACCCTAATAAGCCATTTTTATACCTTTCTGTGTTATCTAATCAGCCACTTCCGATTCTTTCCGAAGACAATAGCCAATCTCAAGAAGTAGGCGTGACCTTAGGTGAGACTGACCATATAAAAAGCCCGTCTGTCCAGAGAGGACTTCTTTTACAGGGAAGACTGGCTGAGTTTGCAGCTTCCAGGCTTCAGGGAGCAGAGAGTTCCTACTGACCCTGATAGCAGCAGACCTTCCAGACCTTCCAGAGCTTCCAGAGGTAAGACCACTCAGTAGACCCTGGTGAGTATGGAATTTACAGTAAATATCTTCATGCCTACTTTCTCCTCTACAAATACTTTCAATTTAGCTGTTGTCCTGGTTGGGTCTTGTCCAAGCAAACAAACAGCTTTCCTAGTTATTTAAAATGACATCAAGATTTAAAATATCTGTGTAACTAGAGCATTTGTAATATAATAATATTTATTATATTAAATTGATGATTTTTTATTCTTTTTTTTACTTAAAAAATTTTTTTTAATGTTCATATTTGATAGAGAGAGAGAGAGAGACAGAGTCCAAGTGGGGGGACGGACAGAGAGAAGGAGACACAGAATCTGAAGCAGGCTCCAGGCTCCAAACTGTCAGCACAGAGCCCAGTGTGGGGCACGGACTCATGAACTGTCAGATCATGACATGAGCCGAAGTCGGATGCTTAACTGACTGAGCTACCCAGGCGCCCGATTATTTTTTTTTAAGTTTTATTTGTTTTGTTTTTTGTTTCTTTTTAGCATTTATTAATTTTTGAAAGACAGAGAGAGACAGAGCATGAATGGGGGAGGAGTAGAGAGAGAGGGAGACACAGAATCTGAAGCAGGCTCCAGGCTCTGAGCTGTCAGCACAGAGCTTGACGCAGGGCTCAAACTCTGGAACGCAAGATCATGACCTGAGCCGAAGTCGGCTGTTCAACCAACTGAGCCACCCAGGCGCCCCAGCACCCCGATTATTTTTTATTCTATTATCTTATGTGTTACTAAGTTTTTTTAGGTCTTAGAGATTTATGCAGTTTTTATGCAATTTCGGAACTCATAAAGCACCTGAAATGTTCAACATAATGTATGTATGTAATAGTCTTTATAGCCATCAACATGAAAGTTTAGTGTGCTGAATTAGTTAGAAACCCTTTGTTGTAAAAGTCCTACTATGCTCTCCTTCTAAAACCTTCAGTTTGCAGACTAGATTTAAAAGGCTCTTACCAATGGGTAAGGACTCCCAAGAAGTGGCATTGATCACCATGGGGAAATACCAAAAATACAGATGAACTGATCATGCTTTTCTTAACTACATCTCTGTACTTTCTAGTGCAGAAAGAAAATCCAAATACTTATTCTCTTTTTTGTTTGTTAAAAAAAAAAAAAAAGATTAATCATTGCTCGTTAGCACTGTGACTTGAACGTTCACCAGTTCAAGATGTGAAGATGTTCTGATGATCTGAACTGACTCTGGGAAAAATCCTTTTCCAAACTAGAAATAAAAGATAATTTTTACACTTTATTTCCTTTACAAAAAAATTTTTTTTAATATTTATTTATTTTTGTGGGAGAGAGAAAGACAGAACATGAGTGGGGGAGGGGCAGAGGGGGAGGGAGACACAGAACCTGAAGCAGGCTCTAGGCTCGGAGCTGCCAGTACAAAGCCTGATGTGAGGCTCAAACTCATAAACTGCGAGATCATGACCTGAGCCGAAGTCAGATGCTTAACCGACTGAGCCACCCAGGTGCCCCTAGACTTTATTTCCTGAAAGGAGAAGTTTTGCTATTAAAGTTAGAAGCACAAATTCAACTGCTTACAGTTGCAGGAGTCAAAGTTGAAGGCAACACTGATTAAATTAAACAAGCTTAATTTAAACCTAATCAGTTTTATTTATTTTTAGAAAAGTACACCTGTCAGTTTGGAGACAGTATACATGGAGGCTGTTAGCATAGAGATGAAGTGTTTGTGTGTATATGTGTGCCTGTGTTACAGTCATGAAGATAGAGAGAAACACATGCAGAGAGAGAGTTAGGGTGGGGAGAGGGGAGATTGAGATTCTATATAGGCTTCTGCACCAATCAGCTAAGAAATGTAACTTTGTAATTATCCTTTCACTTCCTCTCCCAGTCTTTGAGGGGCAGTAGTTTAGCTCTGATTGGGAAATTGACTATTTGACATTTATTTATTTTTGAGAGGCAGAGACAGAGTGTGAGTGGGGAAGGGGCAGAGAGAGAGGGAGGAACACAGAATCTGAAGCAGACCCAGGCTCTGAACTGTCAGCACAGAGCCCTACACAGGGTTTGAGTTCACAGACTGTAAGATCATGACCTGAACCAAAGTCAGATGCTTGACCAACTGAGCCACCCAGGAGCCCCAAGAACACTGTCTATTTGAAACCAAAAAGATGGTGAGGACACTTTCGTCCCATTTTTTCATTTGTAGCATAGCATAAACCCAACGTATCTATATCTACCATGCCTCCCTTTGTGCTGGAGTTAAATTAATAGGTGGATTAGATAGAGCTCAAGCAGACAAGCTTTTGTCTAAAGGCTTTCCCCCACCTCATCAGGACAGAAGAATGACTTTCTCTCTCTCTCTCTCTCTCTCTCTCTCTCTCTTTTTTTAAAGATGTACAGAAATATGGATTTGGACACCTTGCAAGCCTTGCAGAATGAACTCATCTGCTCCATTTGTATGAACTACTACATAGACCCTGTCACCATTGACTGTGGGCATAGCTTTTGCAGTCCCTGCCTGCACCTCTGCTGGGAGGAAGCCCAGACCCTAATGTCCTGCCCTGAGTGCAGGGGAATTTCAGAGAAATCAGACTTCAAAACCAATATTGCACTCAAGAAACTGGCATCCCTTGCCAGACGGGCCAGAGTTTACCACACCAACAGCTCCAATGAGCAGATCTGTGTGGTACACAAGAAAGCAAAGGAGTTCTTCTGTGAGGCTGACAAGAGCCTGCTGTGTGGGCTCTGCTCTGAATCACCAGAGCATGTGGCTCATGGCCACAGTCCAGTCCAGTGGGCTGCTGAGGAACACAGGGTAAGTGGTGGCTCTAGAGCAGTTTGGACTCATAGGCTTCTAAGTCCGAGAGAAAGATGAGGAAAATGATCATGAAGTTGATGTGAGTGGAGATAGTGAAGGTGGTGATTTTTCAATATAAATACCAAGACCAATATCCTTTCAGTGTGTTGACCAATTTTGACTCTATAATCATAGCTACGTTGATCCTTTAGTAAGGGAAATTTCCTTAGAAACATTGTCCAAATCTGTGTGCTTGATGTAATTGTGGGGTAAGTGGCTACTACCAGGAACACTGGCTTCTGATGCAAGCTTGATGCCTTCATAGTCAGGTTATATAAAAATGTGAGTGCCAGTTTCTCAGGAAATGGGTAATATTATCTATAGGCTACCCTCAAATCTCTATTACGTTTGTCACCTCTGATATCACAAATATTAGAATCAAATTAGATAATGCAGAGAAATCTGGCCACTCCATGCTAACTCAAGATTACTGGTTTCTCAGCCACTGACTTTTCCCATAGATAAGGGGATGAAATCTATAATATTATCTTCTGTGTTGCTAAAGCTCATGGTTATTTTGCAGGAGAAACTTCTGAAGAGAATGGGCTCTTTATGGAACACGACTCAAGAAATGCAAAATGATCTGAATCAAGAAGCTAACAAAATCCAGTCATTTGAGGTAAGAATGAAAATGTTCTATCTGTTTTTATGAAGATTGACATAATGGTGGTTTAGATTTTTGGCTACATTTAAGTTGCCAATTAAAGGATCATTTTTTTTTCCATGAAAAAGTAATGGTTTCAAATGATAGATCAGTAATCACAGATATACAGGCCAATAAAAGCTAGTGAAAAGAATTCTGGTATATGGGATACCCAGGGCATGCGAGATATTCCTAGTCCAACCCTACAGGTTTAGATAAACCTCCTTAGACACTGAGTTTAAGAAAACATTGTAATAGGGGTGCCTGGTGATTCAGTTGGTTAAGCATCCAACTCTTTTTTTCTTAATTTTTTAAAATATTTATTTATTTTAGAGAGAGAGAGAGAGACAGAGTGCTAGCTAGCAGGGGAGGGGCAAAGGGAGAGGGAGACACAGAATTCAAAGCAGGCTCCAGGCTCCAAGCTGTCAGCACAGAGTCCAATGTGGGGCTGGAACTCATGAACCATGAGATCATGACCTGATCCGAAGTTGGATGCTTAACCGAGTGAGCCACCCAGGCACCCCAAGCATCCAACTCTTGATTTTAGCTCAGGTCATAATCTCTTGGTTTGTAAGATCGAGTCCCGCATCAGGCTCTATGCTGAAAGCTCTCTCTCTGCCCTTCCCCTGCTCCTGCGTGCTCTCTCTCTCTCTCTCTCTCTCTCTCTCTCTCAAAATAAACAAACTTAAAAATAAAATAAAACATTGCAATGAATTTGGCTGTGAAGAAGAGGAGAGCCATAGGGTAGCACCGAGAGGAAAAGTAGAGAATTTAAAGATCTGTAAAGTGTGGTGTATACATAAGTATTTTTAAACATTTAGAAAAATCAGACAAAGGAACAAAAGAAAAGGAGGTTCAGGTAAGAGAGGAAATAATTGATGGAGCATCACAGCAAGATAGCCTGGGACCTCTTAGAGAGCTTGATTTGAACAGGGAAGGCATCTAAGAACATAGACAAAGGGTGAACATAAAGGACTAGCAAATATTCCAGACGTTTGGAGATATGAGGTACGAAGTTTGTCAAGTACTTTCTTAATGACACCAAGGAAGCAGGATTTGAAGGTTGAGGTTTTCTGTTGTGAGTGAGGCTAACCCTTTACACCTACCATCTCCTCAGGACTATGTGCTTTTAAGGAAAGTGATGATCAAAATGCAGTATCAGAAGATGCATCTGTTTCTCCGCGAGGAGGAGCAACTCCATCTGGAGACACTGGAGAAAGAGGCGGAGGAGATTTTGCAACAACTCCAGGAAAGTGCATTCAGAATGACCCAACAGAAAGCAAGCCTGAAAGAAATGTACAAAGAGCTGACTGAGATGTGCCACAAGCCTGACCTGGAGCTGCTCCAGGTGAGAAGGCAGGGTTCATCCTCAGAGACAGGAATCCTTTTTTGGGCAATGTTGCCATGACATTGAAATGCTAACAGCATATACCATTACTCTCAGCAAAGTCATGATGCTTATTGACTCCCATCATTCTGTTTGTCCAACCATTTATTTCTTCATACCCTGGTAATCTTTGGGAGATTTTTTCCCATTTAGGAGCTAACCTACGGCAAAATTATTGCTGTGTAATCAGAAGTACTAATCACATGGATAAATGATCCAAAATCAGAAAAACCCTATAACCAGAGGAAGGTTAGCTATGTTGGAGTAATTCTCAATTTATGTTCCCCTAATCCATTGTCACTCTCTGTTTCCCCACTTCAGAAATAACTTGCTGAAGACACTGAGATTTTGCCCTCTGACTAGGCAAGGGTTGTAGAATTTGGCAACCAATTTTACTGCACTCTATAACTTTTTAAAATGTAATTTCTCTGTTTTGCTTTCATTGTTATCGCAAATGATCAGATCTCTTCTTGGGAATAAGACTGGGCTCTGAGTGACAGTGGAAACCTAGATCGTGTTGCATCTCTGCACAGCCCCTTCCTGACCTCCTTCTTTCCTTAATATATCCTGAGGAACTCTGTCATGCTTTAGTTTAGGTTCTATTAAGGTAGTCTCTGATTGTTTCTTAGAGGGGAATGAGAGAAAAAAATACATTATTTAAGCAAACAAACAAGAATACTTAGAGAGGCAAAAAAACAAAACTCTCATGATTAACATTACTTTTTTTTTCCCTTACAGGACTTGGGAAATGTATTGCAAAGGTGAGTTTCCACTAATGGTTACTGATTGCTGAGCAAGTCTCTTGTTCTTATTGATAAAGTGGATGGACATGTTTTGAGCTCTTAAAATCATTCTCTGTGGCTACTTTCTGTTGTTGTTGTTTGTTGTTGTTGAAGCTTATTTATTTATATTTGAGAGAGTGAGAGCGAGCACACAAGCAGGGGAAGGACAGAGAGAGAGAGGGAGAGAGAGAATCCCAAGCAGGCTCCACACTGTCAACATGGAGCCCGGTGTGGGGCTCAATCCCACAATCTGAGATTGTGACCTGTGTAGAAACCAAGAGTCAGACGCTTAACTGACTGAGCCACCCAGGTGCCCCTCTGTGGCTACTTTCTATTTCTTTTTAAAGAAGCCTAAAGACCTTCTGCTCCTTGGACTCAGTTTTCTTTTTGTGTGGATGAATTAAAATATACTTCAAATCATGCAACATTCTGGGCTCTGTTCCACTCACTGCTCCCAAATCCTCTCCCACCTCACCATAGTAAAACTTACCGAAGGAATTTTTCTAAGGTGTAACAGAAGGGGTTCCTACCCTAGAGAGTTGGAGGTGAAAAAGACAAGAAAGACGGATATTCCCCAAGAATGGATAGGAGGGGAGTGTGATTTTGTTCCCAGCAGTAGTAATGATCTCACCTATTCCATCACAACACATCCGGTGGTAGGCAGGGCCTCACCGGAAATGGCTTCCTGGTGCCCATTGAGGGGGGTCAGACCCTGGGGACCAAAGCTGCCAGGCTGAAAGTAGATTCTCTTGCTGGACAGAAAAGAACAAAACTGTCTGACTCAGTGGGCTCTCCCCTTTTAGACACTGAATATATCATTAGTGACTGTGCAGACCGACCTCCCAAAGGCTTTGCCTGAACATTGTGCTCTCTGTAAGACCTCAGGATCTTTGCTTTGCCTGAGGTGGAATAGAGGGAGGGAATGATCCTCAGTAATTTGCGAAATGGAATAATATCTGAGAAGAATGGAGAAGTTGGAGTTTGATATAATTTAAATTTAGAAAAAAAGGTAAAGTAACGTTTCTCATATTCCCAAGAGCGTGGAATACAATGTATTCCCAACAAACCAAAATGGGAGAATTCTGATGAAAACTCTTTGAGTAAACACTGCTGCTTTTGTAATCTAGTGCGATTGACCTTTGGCCCAGAAGTGTAACTGATGTCATTCTTTACAGGACTGAATTGGTGCAGGTGCAAAAGCCTCAGCCCATGATTCCAGAGCTCACCTTGCACGGCATCACAGGAATCCTAGACATACTGAACAACTTCAGAGGTAAGAATCAGCCCTTTGGCAATCAGGCCTCAATTTCTTTAGTGGTTCTTGGGGATGATTCTCCTTTCTCTTTTAATTTTGTTTTTTCTGACATGAAGGTAGTGTGTGACTTTCCAAACTTATTATCTCTTTTCTCTCTAGTCATGTTACAATGATAAAGACTAAATTTTCCAACTTATACTTTACTGAAAATGCAAAGCACGATACATATTTTTTAGTTGTTTCTGACACAAACAGAGCAAGAGAAGAGTAATCAGGTTGGTCGTGTAGTTATGAAGAGCTAGAATATTTAGTTCTCAGAGTAACAATCAATATGTATGTTTATTCAGTTTACTCCAGTCTTGAAAGCTTAAATATGGCATTGGTGATTTTTAGTTTTTTCTATATTCCAAGTGCCTTTATCACGCATTGTACAAAGACTATTTATTACTTATAAAATCAGAAAGCTTTGACAGAGAAAGACCAAAATTGTCATTGGCAGAATAATTTTAATGTTATTAGAGCAATCTCAAAGCCACTGAAAGGCAAGGGATGTGTGAACAGGGCTGAAACAGAGTGGGCCCACAACAGAGAGTAGGTCTAGACAGCAGAGGGCTAAAATTGGGATTTGACTAAATCCAGGGTCTGAACGGATAATGTAAAGCCACAACATTCTTTTCAGAAGCTTCTAAACTAAGCATACATGGATTTCTATAAAATTTTTGACATTTGAAAATGTCACAGGTACCAGTTATATGCCAGTCAATACCCACATAATAGCTAGGTGCTATTTATTTATTAAATAGTATTAAAGATAAACAACGCAGGAAGAGTTTTCTGAAGTAAAGACAAAAAATGAGGTGTGTCCTGAAATAAATTATCCAGACTGACATTAAATGACTGCTTCACACAGTTCACAGTATGTCTGGATGTTTTTCCTTTTTCTGTATGATTTGAAGGGTTTCTGTGCTATAGAGGCAGTCACAACTCTTGCTCTTCATAGATAAGCCATCTGAACTCTCTTCACTCTTTTCTTTTGTATTTCCTTGAAGGAGGGGAAATGAAGAGGTCATTGGTGGGTAGAAAATCTTTGCCCCTCAGGACATGGAAACCCATTCACTGACCTAATTTTTGCCTTTCTTTGTAGTGGGTAATGTGCTGAGTCAGGAAGCCACCGGTCGCTACATGTGCGTTTCTGAGGATGCTGGAAGTGTGATGCTTGGAGTCACCCATCCTGGTGTGTCCAGAGAGCCTGAGAGCCTGGCGAGCTTTGCAGCCTGGGGACCTCAGGTCTTCACCTCTGGTAAACATTACTGGGAGGTGGATGTCACATGCTCCCCAAATTGGATTCTGGGAGTCTGTAAAGATTCCTTTATGAGTGATATTGATATCATTAGTGATCCTGAGGCAGCATTTCTTCTGTTTTCTTTGAAGATAAACAATCGTTATAGTCTCTCCACCAACTCCCCGCCCTTAATTCAGTATGTGGAAAGGCCTCTGGGTCAGATTGGAGTATTTCTGGATTACGACAATGGAACTGTGAGCTTCTATGATGTTTGCAAAAGTTCCCTCATATACAGTTTCCTTCCTTCCTCCTTCTCTTTCCCTCTGAAGCCTTTCCTTTGCTTTGGTTCCCTCTGAAAAAACAAGTTTTGTGAGCATTTATTTGATGAATTCCCATGTCTGAGGAAATTCCTATCATGAAACCTTTTCATGTAAAACAACAGGATAATAAGGGTCTTTGAGCACACTGACTTAAGGGAACAGAACCATTGTACGTTTATAAAATGGCATTAACTATGTTGACTATATAAATTTTGTATTAAATTTTCTTTTAATAAAAAATTGTTTATTTTGGAGCATTTTCTGGAATATAATCAATGCCTTTTCTTCTTTCTTTATTTTTATTTAACTTGTTTTATTTTTTATTTTTTTAAATTTACATACAAATTAGTTAGCATATAGTGCAACAATGATTTCAAGAATAGATTCCTTAGTGCCCCTTCCCCCATTTAGCCCATCCCCCCCTCCCACAACCGTTCCCGGAACCCTCAGTTTGTTCTCCATATTTATGAGTCTCTTCTGTTTTGTCCCCCTCCCTGTTTTTATATTATTTTTGTTTCCCTTCCCTTATGTTCATCTGTTTTGTCTCTTCAACTCCTCATATGAGTGAAGTAATATTATTTTTGTCTTTCTCTGACTGACTAATTTCACTTAGCATACATAATACCCTCCAGTTCCATCCACGTCATTGCAAATGGCATGATTTCATTCTTTTGATTGCCAAGTAATACACCATTGTATATATATATACCACATCTTCCTTATCCATTCATCCATGGATGGACATTTGGGCTCTTCCTGTACTTTGGTTACTGTTGATAGTGCTGCCATAAACATGGGGGTGCATGTGTCCCTTCAAAACAGCACACTTGTATCCCTTGGATAAATGCCTAGTATTGCAATTGCTGGCTCGCAGGGTAGTTCTATTTTTAGTTTTTTGAGAAACCTCCATACTGTTTCCCAGAGTGGCTGCACCAGCTTGCATTCCCACCAACAATGCAAAAGAGATCCTCTTTCTCCACATCCTCGCCAACATCTATTGTTGCCTGAGTTGTTAATGTTAACCATCCTGACAGGTGTCAGGTGGTATCTCATGGTGGTTTTGATTTGTATTCCCTGATGATGAATGATGTGGAGCATTTTTTCATGTGTCGGTTGGCCATCTGGATGTCTGCTTTGGAGAAGTGTCTATTCATGTCTTTTGCCCATTTCTTTGCTGGATTATTTGTTTTTTGGGTGTTGAGTTTGATAAGTTCTTTACAGATTTTGGATACTAACCCTTTATCTGATATGTCATTTGCAAATATCTTCTCCCATTCTGTCAGTTGCCTTTTAGTTTTGCTGTTTGTTTCCTTTGCTGTGCAGAAGCTTTTTATTTTGATGAGGTCCCAGTAGTTCATTTTTGCTTTTGTTTCCCTTGCCTCCAGAGATGTGTTGAGTAAGAAGTTGCTGTGGCCAAGGTCAAAGAGGTTTTTGCCTGCTTTCTCCTCGAGGATTTTGATGGCTTCCTGTCTCACGTTTAGGTCTTTCAGCCATCTTGAGTTTATTTTTGATTGTGGTGTAAGAATCTGGTCCAGGTTCATTCTTCTGCACATCGCTGTCCAGTTTTCACAGCACCACCTGCTGAAGATACTGTGTTTATTCCATTGGATATTCTTTCCTGCTTTGTCAAAGATTAGTTGGCCACACGTTTATGGGTCCATTTCTGGGCTCTCTATTCTGTTCCATTGATCTGAGTGTCTGTTCTTGTGCCAGCCTTTTCTTCTTCTTTTTTTAATAACAGTTTTAGTAAGATGAAATTTACTTACCATAAAAGTCATTCCTCTAAAGTATATACATAATTCAGAGGCACCTGGGTGACTCAGTCGGTTACCCGTCCAACTCTTGATTTCGGCTCAGGTCACGATCTCACGGTTTGTGAAATTGAGGCCCACATGGGGCTTTGTGCTGACAACGTGGAGCTTGCTTGGGATTCTCTGTCTCTCCATCTGTCTCTGCCCCTCCCCCTCTCTTTCTTTCAAAAATAAAAAAATTATAAAGTACATAATTCAGTGGCTTTTAGTATTATCCCAAGAGTTGTGCAACTATCATAACGATTTAATCCCAGGACATTTCCATCACCCCCAAAAGAAATAAATACCCTTTAATACTTACTCCCTTTTCACCTTCTCATCCCTTGTCAACCTCAACTCTCCTTGCAGTCTGTACGGATTTGTCTATCATATACATTTCATGCAAAGTCAGTCACACACAGCATGTGGCTTTTTGTATTTTTATTTTTGTATTTTGTAAACATTCACATAATGTTTTCAAGGCTCCTCTGCATTGTGAGCAATGTGTTTTACTTGCATGTTTGAACCAGATTGGCGTAGAAGAAATGAAGTGGTATATATCTCAGCTTAGTATGCAAAAGGAGTGATGCTTAATCTTCTCTTCAAGGCTGACCTAGTTGGATAAATCCAAGTATCTGACAGGCATTATCATTCCTCTAAACCTTAGTCATTCATCGAATCTTGACTGATTATCAACAAACTTTCATCAAATTGGTAGACACTTATTAGATTGAAACTTATTAGACTGATACTTATTAGGTTGAAAATTCTAAGAGAGTAGAGGCAGTATTTGTCTCACTTACAACTCTATTCCCACTATTCAATGCAGTACTTAGACCATAAAATACAATAAATTAAACATGAATAAATAAATGAGCAAAAGAGTTAATGTAAGCAAATATTATTTCAGCATTGAAACATGATTTTTCAGAATACAGCTAACATAATAGGACAAAAAATACTAATGGGAAATGTCAACAACAGACAAGAAATAGATTAATTTCCAGACTCATAGACTAAGAAAAGTCCATTATTTTAAGGTATGAAATACCGACAGCATAATTTTATTCTGTAGTGTTGATTTTGAGATTTCCCTAGGATAATCAATATAATCTAGTAGAAGATGAAGACCCTACATAAAGTGATAAAGTGATAGGGAAACAAGAAATAACACTTTGAATAATGGAGACTATCAGTTTCTAAACTGACATATGTGTTAAATTACTTACTAAACATAAAGTGGTATTAACTTCTCTAAGCAGTGCATAAAACAAAACCTGTTTAGATTTGAAAAAATAATACAGATGATAGAGAATAGAGAATTCTATAATACCATGTGATATCTGTATCTTGTAAAAAAATGTTTTAAGAAAGAAAGAAATACTTTGGAGTACAGTCATAGGATAAATAATGACTGAAATATGAAGCAACCACATAATCACTAATGTGCTTAATCCCATGACATTGAGGGTTCACTTCTCATGGGTAGTTGGTGCAAGTGAAAGCCTCTCTTAGGACCAGTTAGGGGATAGACTAATCTGATCTAACAAGAGCCTCCACATTGAAATGAGTTGGAAGATGTGCTCTCTCACATGGCTGCCCAAATAGCAGAGGTGGTCAAGAGGTAGACTGACATAGTCAACCACTGGCTGTTATCTAGGTGTATGTAAAATTCCAACTTGTGGCCTTGTCCCATCCAGCAGGAAAGCTGCAAAAAATATCTGGGGCAAAGGGATCTGACTTTCAGGAAATGAGTAGGTGTTTTCTACAGCTCTTGTGTTCCATTCCTATTGGTTTATGCTTAGGCATTGGAGCATACCAAGCTGTGAGAAATATCCAAGAATTCTGGATACACAGTGAAAAGGAGATCAGTTTTTATTGTTTCAGAAGAAAATATTGAAATGATTGGCACAGTAGGAGAAATTCCAAAAGGTTGTGATTAATGAAACACAGGGGAGCCTCAACAAAAGAGATATGGTGTTGTTCAAGGTTAGGTCCAAGTCCAGTGTTCAAGAAGGTATAAACTCTGCTCTTCACATTTTCCAAGTGACAAGTGTTTACCTACTCAAAGCCTGGCTCACTGAGAGCCATGAGACAAGGAGCCTCTTTTTTGCCTTTTATTCCCTTAAATGAGTGACTAAGACAGAAATGATTCTCCAAATTTTGGAAATAGTTATCAGAAATGTTCCATTATTTTTTCACCCTAACACCCAGATTCTGTAGTTAACTTTCTTCCCCTCCCACATCTTTCATGCAGCACTGTGTTGACTAATAGAGAGACTCTATTGCGAGTTTTTTCCTGACTTGCTGCCTCTTTCCAAGTGATCTCAGATTGTATAATCTTATCTGCTGGAGCTTCAATCTAACACTCCTTTTCTATTTTTGCCGGTGGTTCCTGAGATTTTTTTACAGATGCTAACATTTTGCTGAGTAACAGCAAATACATCTGAAGTTTGATATTAAGTTTTCTTCCTTTTCAAAGAAAATTTTATAGCTAGCATTCTTCTTATTTCTCTCAGATTTTATTGTATCTCCAGGCAGAATTAGCTACTTTAAAGACATTCAATATTTGCCTTCGATATTAGAAGATGGGACAGTTTGCATTTCTTTTTTTTTTAATATGAAATTTATTGTCAAATTGGTTTCCATACAACACCCAGTGCTCATCCCAACAGGTGCCCTCCTCAATACCCATCACCCACCCTCCCCTCCCTCCCACCCCCCATCAACCCTCAGTTTGTTCTGAGTTTTTAAGAATCTCTTATGTTTTGGCTCCCTCCCTCTCTAACCTTTTTTTATTTTTATTTCCTTTCCCCACCCCCACCATGGTCTTCTGTTAAGTTTCCCAGGATCCACATAGGAGTGAAAACATATGGTATCTGTCTCTGTATGACTTATTTCACTTAACATAACACTCTCCAGTTCCATCCACGTTGCTACAAAAGGCCATATTTCATTCTTTCTCATTGTCACATAGTATTCCATTGTGTATATAAACCACAACTTCTAATAATCCAGTGAAAAAATGGGCAGAAAATATAAATAGACACTTCTCTAAAGAAGACATCTGGATGGCCAACAGGCACATGAAAAGATGCTCAACGTCACTCCTCATCAGGGAAATACAAATCAAAACCACACTCAAATACCACCTCACGCCAGTCAGAGTGGCTAAAATGAACAAATCAGGGGACTATAGATGCTGGAGAGGATGTGGAGAAACGGGAACCCTCTTACACTGTTGGT